TGAGCATTATCCAGTAAGGGCGGTATCTCAACAATGGGTAGATCGATCGTTCCCACATATAGTTGAGAAGATAAATGTGGAAGATGAACGTGAGCTTCACTGGGAAGACGAAGTTTATATGCGACATCACCTATCTTGACTTCAATTGGATAGGGGCCAAAAAACTTGCCAGCTAACTTCTTGGAAGCACTAAATCACCCACTTGGAATTGAAGATCATGTCGGTATGCATCTTGACTGTGATCTGATTACATCCCAATTACTTATTGGCCTCATCTCGTTCCTGAAGAAATTGGTCAACTATTTTTTACGTGCGTAAGGACAATGTTGGGTGGCTCTCGCCTGTATAGGGACTTAAATGGAGAAGTTCCAATACTAACGTCGTACGATGAGTTATACTAGAACTCAGTCCAAGGTAATAACACTAGCCACCTTCGAATCTACTGCTGAGTAAAGCAATGCAAATATTGTTCTAAGACTTGGTTTACTCGCTCGATTTTCCCACTCGATTTTGGATGGTAATGTCATACTCATACATAATATGTTTCCCGATTGTGCAAACAGACCCCCGCCAAAAAGCACTCTTAAAAACAACATCTCTGTCACTAACGATCTAAGCAGGTATCTCGTGTAGCCACACGAATTGTTGATATGCTCGACCACTTTATTAGCCGTGTATGGGTGAGACAAGGGTATGAAATGACTAGACTTGGTCAGTCAATCCAATCCACTACTACCATGAGTTGCCTTTTCGTTCACCATTGGTAACCCTTTAACGAATCCATCGAAATATCTTCTCATATTATATGTGGCAGGGGTAAGGGTTGAAACAAACCAGTTGCGAGCCGTGAATTCTTTACACATTGACATATATCATAAGCCGGAGTGTAATCCCTTGTATTGTCTGCCATCTTTAGCCGGAAAAAATTGTGGGGGGACTCGTTTTATAGTTCTTTTAACGCTTGAATGCCCTTACACGACAGAGTCATGGAACTCGTTCAAGATTGTTGTGACAAACAAAGATGGCAAAGCAAGCACTATCTGATCTTTATAGAAAACCAACCCTTGGCAAACGCAAAATTTCTCGACACATTTGAAATAGTTGTCTCTTTTAGCCCTTGTAGATAAGGGTTGTGTTGCACAACATCGCAAATCTCATCCCATAAAAGTTCAAACCATTTTCGTTGCGAGGGCATCCATTCGAGCTCCTCCCTTGCAGCATGACAACCCATCGGTAGCCTTATTTACACACCCTAGTTTATAATGGATCTCGTAATCGTACCCCAATAGTTTTGTCAACCACTTATGTTGATCAGAAATTGAGATCTTCTGATTAAGCAAATGCTTCAAGCTTTGTTGGTCAACCTAAGTTTGGAAATTATGTCCTTATAAGTATGGTCTTCGTGTTTGTTTGTCGTTGTTACCGCGAGCATCGCACGCTGATAAGTGAACTAAGACGCCTTGGAGGGTCCTAAAGTTTGGCTCATGAAGGTACAAGATCTTATGCTATGAGAAAACTTCCACAATCCCCCTCCCCGAAGCGTCGATCTTTATTTCAAAAGGAATGCGGAACTGGCATCACTAGAGTATGTGTGGTTGTCATGCCTTCTTCAACTTGCCAAATGATTGTTCGACCTCGGGAGTCCATTTAAATGCTCCATTCTTGAGCAAATCAGTCAATGATCGAGCGATAGAAATGTATTGCTTACCAAACTTTTGATAATACCCTGTGATACCAATGAAACCGCAGAGGGCGGTAATACTTTTAGGAGTGTTCCAGTCAAGCATCACTTGTATCTTCCGGGGATTAGCTCGTCTTTAGATATCAGATGGCAGAGATATTCCACTTCGTTGTCACGAACGAGAACTTGGGAAGCTTGAGATAGTAGTGATGGTGCCAGAGAATAGAAAATACTTCGCCAGGAGCCTCTGATGGGTTTTTGAAATCTTTGTTGTAGATCAAAAAGTCGTCGAAAAAGACCAAGACAAATTTTCGCAATAATGGCCAAACCATGTCATTCATTGTGGCTTGGAATATAGATGACGCTTTTCATAGTCCAAACGAAATTATGAAATATTCATAATGACCATTATGAGTCCTCAAAGTCGTCTTATGTATATCTTCAGCCGTGCAAATATGATGGTAACCTGCAAGTAAATTTAACTTCTTAAAGTATGTTGCACCATGAAGCTCGTATAACATATCTTTCACCGTAGGGATAGGAAAACGATCCTTAATGGTGGCGTCATTAAGATCCTGATATTCCATACAAAACCTTCAAGTCTTGTCATTCTTCTTGACGAGTAGTATTGTTGATTAAAACAAAATAGTGCTTGGTCGGACTAGCCCAACTTGCATCATCTCATCCACTTACTTCTCAATCTCCAAGAGTGCGTCTAGCTTAACCCTGCATTGTAGCATGGTCTATAGACTTGGGAGTTCTCTTGATCTCCCTTTACCTCGATAGCAAATTGTCATTCACTTCCAATCGCAAGTAATTGGCCCAATGGTTTCCACCATTGCACTCTGAGCACTACATCAAGTTCCTTCAACGGTAGTCTGAATAATAACACTTGCAACCCTGTAGACCTAAGGCCACCTCATCATAATGTTTGTAACACTTCAATGACGCGTAGTTGGCTATTCAGACCGTGAATGGTTTGATATCTTTTGTTTCCAGGTCTAGGGTAATGGCCAAACTATCGCTAATGAATGTGTGCGACGAGGTGATGTCCACTATTGTTGTGACTTCGTCCCCCACGGTCACATCCTTCTCGCAAGGCATGGCATGCACCGAAATGAAGGGTTTCACATTGGTTCTGGTCACATCCTTCCCATAAGGAGCGGCATGCATCGTAAGGTTCATCATTGGTTGTTCCGTGCGGATAGCGGAGCTCCTAAATTTTTCAAAGCCTCTACCACCTCGGCTATCTTCGCCTTGAGCTCTTCATTGCAAGCCTTCATCGTTGTTGCTACTTGAGTGTCCACATCGTTGATTGGTATCATCACAAAAGATTGGTACCAAATTATGATACAAGTTGTTACATGGGTCAAGTTCACGTAACGTAGTTCGTAGAATTATTGAGTAAGAACGAAGAGAATTTAAAAGGAAATGGAAAGAATTGCTAACAACTAGAATATTTCTTAACTGAACATGACTTATTATTATACCATTACTATATGTTTATAATGCAACATCAAACAATCATTAAAAGAAAAAAAGTAAGGAAAATGAAAAACAATCCAACACAGAAAAGGAAAACAAAAATGAAAGGAAAACTAGAGATATTTACGATTGGGCTTTGGTGTTGAGCTCGGCCTCCAAGGTGTCACTGTTATTGTCTCATCTTGGGCCCCGGGTTAAGGCCATATTTTTTGGAGATTTGAGAGACCCCAAAAAGTTGATTGCTCGTTGCAGCTTGATGGAGGCCATCTTTACCTTGCTTCTTCTATTTTGACAACAATAAAACATCTCATTCATTGAAAGAACGATCAATTTCTTATTTTTCTAATGGATAAGTAATACCGAATTTATTAATTAAAGAAGAATAGATGATACATGTGATTTATAGTAGGTTTGGCAAGTAAAACCGACATATTGGATATCCACACAAACCCGAGCCGGTCAACACGGGCAAAATTCGCTTTGCTTTTGGGTCTGGCTCAGGCTCGGGCAAAACCCAAAATGAAGATTCTAGGGCCGGTTGTGGATATTGTGATATCCGACCCAAACCCGCTTGAAATACCAATAACCCCTAACCCCATCCCGGAACACTATCCCCATTCCCCTCATCTCCGCAAAGCCATACAACTCATATCCCTCTCTCAATTTCTCATCACTCATCGGCGACATCGAAGGGCTCAAGCTTTCCACAAGTCCGCGTGTAGCGGTTGAATTCCCATCCATTGTCAGTCCTCTTGAGATCCGAGAATCGACTCCTCATCTTCTATCTTCTTAGAGCCAAATTACCAAGCCAACCATTCAATTCAGCCCAATCCTCCTCGTCCCATGACTCTGCCTCCTTCATTAAATGAGTTCTTAACAAGAAGCTCTTCTATCTCGTCACTTTGGGAACTAGCGGAAGTCAGACACTTGCAGAGGTTGGATTCTTAGTTTCTTCTTCCTCTTCCTGCTACCTCTTTAACCCTCTGTTGCTCTTCTATCTCGACACTAACAGAGGTTCGATTTCTTGATTTTAATTTCTGGGTTCATTGACGAGGCCATGACCTTTTGTTGAAATCCTAAAAACGATTTTGTTGTAGCCATTTCAAGTCCAATTTCGATTTCTTCAAAATGTCGAGAGCGTCCCTAAGTTTAATCTTCTTCTTCTTCTTACTGTGTTTTCTGGATTTTTCTTGCAGGTTGTAGCAGTGCATGGTGGAGCAATGTTGCATATTGCAGCAGTGCCTCTCGACATTAATCAGGGCCGAACACTTTCTTATCCTTCAGGGGGTAATTTTCTTCTTTTCTCCTAAAAACGGGTTTCTTGCAAACGGTTTTTGCTTCTGTATACCATCTTTTTCTAATATGGGAAGAATGGCTCAAGATGTTGTGTTTAAAATTGGGTTAGTTGCATATTGTTGTTGTTGATATGGGTTAGTCGCATGCTACTGTTGTTTAAATAATTGATCTTGGTTAGTTGCATACTGCTTTTGTTGCTAAGCCACTACTGCTATTGTTGCTAAATCACTGTTGTTATGTTTAATATTTACACTTTTGTGCTCACTTGCAGGCGAAAAATGGCTCAAGAGGCTACTGTTGTTGCTAATCCACAACCACAAAATCAAGAGGCTATTGTAACTAATCCATAACCCACCCTTGCTGGTGATAATGAAGAGGTTCTTGATTTGGGAAACCTCAAGAATAACGTGCGCAAGAACTTTACAAAGATAAAAAAAAAGGTAGGATTCATCAGGCTAAATGCAGCTATTTCAAGAAGTTGCTTGCAGGTGAATCTAATCATGGCACGTCGGACTTGAGAAATCATCTGAAGACTTGTATGCAAAAAAAAAATATTCAAGATGGGAAGCAAAAGGTACTTGGTGCTAACTTTGACACTAAGGGAAAGAGGGAAATGGTAGCTACTCTGTTTAAAGCAAATGTTTAAAGGCAAGATCTTGTTGTTGCCTCTCTTATGCATGAGTATTCTCTCTCTATGATGGATCATTTATACTTTAGGAGGTTCTTGTCTGGTCCAACCCTTGTTTAGTGTTCCTACAAGGAATACTCTTAAAAGCGACAATTTTAAGATATATAAGAGTGATAAAAGTAGGATCATGAAATTGGTGACAATGCTATGATTTCTAAGATGGTTGTATTGATGTGGGATAAGTTCAAAAATTACCGGAATGATATTCATGAAATACTAGTTGTGGTTGTTGTGTTGGATCCGAGATATATGCTTCATATTTTGGAATATTATGCTCGAAAGTTTGAAATGGGTTAGTTTTGAATGATTTAATCATTGAACATCATTCTCAATTGAACAAGAATGTTGTAGTTACTTTTGGTAGTTCGAGTGCTCAATCACTTGTGGTTCTTCTTCTGTGGATCTTGACTTTCAGTTGTTTGTACAGTAAAGGAAAAAATCGAGAGGAACACTTACTCAAACTAATTTGGACAATTGTTTGAGTGAGGAAGTCTTACCTTGGACTGCCGATTTCGACATCTTGTTGCGGTGGAAGTTGAATGGGGCTAAGTATCCTATTTTGCAAGATATTGCAAGGGATATGCTTGATGTCCCTATTATATCTGTTGCATCTGAATCGACTTTTAGCACTAGTGGTTGACTGTTGGATCCTAATCGTTGCAAACTTCACTACACCACTATGGAGGTTTTGATGTGAACTAAATGTTGGCTTCAAAATTCCACTTCAATTGGTATATATGATAATACCCAAATTAGTGTTATTTTTTGTTCATATTTAGGTTTGTTTCGTGCTAATTCGTGGGCATAATTGGTGGCTTCAAAATTCCATTTCAATAGGTATATATGATAACACCCAAATGGGTGTTATTTTCCCTTAATATTTAGGTTTGTTTCATGCTAATTCAAGTGCATAATTGTTGAACAACATCGACTACATCCCTATTTCATTCCTATTTAATTTTGACGTGATTTTAGGGTGTATTAGACAATACATGTGAATTAGGTACGAAAAAAAAAAACAAGTGTATCAAAAGGGGGCAGAAGACTGAGGTTCACGGCTTGGTGATGGAGATCACGGCCGAGAACCAAGACTGTGAACTTAAGGTGAAGATCGTGGCCTTAAGGCCCAAGATCGCGGCCGCAAATCTGGAGGCTTTGGGTGCAGACTTCGTGAAGAAGCAACCGAGGAGAAATAGAGAGTTTCCCAAGTCCGGTCACGGTATAGTGCAAACTGACCGCGAGGAAGTTTGCTGCCGCGAAGTCATCCCGCGAACCCCTCGCGTTTAAAGATCGCGGCCTCCATGAAGAAGATCGCGGTCGCGATCTTTACCTGCATGGTCGTGTGAACTTGTTCGTCTTCTTATGGCTATAAATAGAAGACCTTTACCCCAATTGAGGGACCTGATTTTGTGATAGAATTTTTGGTTTTAGAAAGAGAAGAGAGAAGCTGAAGGAAGGAGAAGAGAAGAGAAGGAGGAGAAGGAGCTAGAAGAAGAGGATCCATCTTCCTCGACATCAAGACTTCCCCAACCTCTTCTATGTATCTTCTTCCCTCCTTTATGGAGTAGTCCTCCAAGGTACTTGGGGTTCTAAACCCCAAACCGTAGTTTTAGGATTACTATTTAATGAATGGATATTTTATGATTTTAATAAATGAACGTGTTTATCTAGTAGATTTCATTATTTCTATAGCTTTGATTGTGTTTGGGTAAATCGTCCTAATCTTCTCTACTAGCCTACTTGAGCTTCTACGCTGGGTATGGAGTTTTAAGGTTAGACGAGTATGCACCATCAAGAAAATTGAGGTTAGATGTATGAATCGGATCTTATGATGGACGAGGCGGCCAAAACCCTGCCATAGGAATGCCTTCCTAGATAGAACCTGAGATAAAACCTCGAAGTGGATGGTGGATAATACCCATTGAAATGAGCTAAGTTCTTAATGCCCTAGATAAGATAGCCTAGATCGAGGTGACTGACATGTGCTTAGGGGAGGAGTACTCGGAGGCGTGTGGATAACCAGAAAAGCCCACGGGAAAGAGCTCACTTACCACATTCAACAAACCTTATTTTTCTAAACATTGCATAGCAGTCCTAGGCTAGGGTGAGGGATAGTTCCCCAAAGTACCTGCTCTTATCTTTATTTACTCTCTTAACTAGTTGTGTCTTGTAGCACATTTGCATGTGAAGAAGGGATTCTCTGGGGATATTACCTCTTAGTACAGAAATCGAGAGAACCATTTGGATTCTAAGAAGAGTTGCAATACATCAATCTCCATCAATGGCGGATCATCAAGCTCAAGTTCCACCAAGTCCTAGAATAATGGGATCTTACTCCAAACAAGTGTGCATAATGTTAAATCACATATTCTTAACCCAATGGTGCCGAACAACAACTATGAGATCAAGCCGACCACAATTTCGATGCTTCTAAGTGCGTTTCAATTCAATGGAATGATGAGTGAAGATGCTCACGCACATATCAAATTGTTCTACAAGTTAACCAATGGAATCAAGGTAAATAGAGTTCCTCAAGATGCAGTTCGTCTAAGGTTATTTTCGTTTACTTTGAATGGAGCGGCAAAGCAATGGTTGAATAACCACCTACATCACTCCATCACCTCGTGGGATGATCTATGCAACAAGTTCTTTGCAATATATATTCCACCCTCTAAGACAGCTTTAATGAGAAGCGAGATTACTATGTTCCGTCAAGAAGAGGATGATCCATTGTTTGAAGCATGGGAAAGGTTTAAATCTCTCCTAATTAAATATCCACACCATGGCATCATCGATTGAATACAAGTAGAAAGTTTTTATAATGGTTTAAAAAAAGAGTCATGCCACCTCATCGATGTGGCTAGTGGAGCTGCCATTGGAAACAAGGGAGTCGGTAAAATTCAATATTGATTGAAGAATGGCCCTTAATAGCTACGATTGAGGGGACAGAAGGAGAGGCAAAAGTGTGAAGAAAGGAAGTTTAATGAAAGTCAAAGAACCATCGTTGTTAGCGGCTCAAATACAAGAACTTTCTAAGAAAATTGATCAAGTTGCATCATCAATGAAAGGTAGTAGGAAGCAACTCATGAAATGTGATTGGTATGGCGACTCGAGTCACAATATGGAGTAGTAAATCAATGATTGAGGCCTCAATACAGTTTGAGCAAGCCAACTTTGTTGAGGGGAAATCCCGAGGAAACAACTCTTATAGCTCAACATATAATCCGGGTTGGAGGAACCATCCCAACTTTCTTTGGTCTTCTCTGACGAATAGAAAGCGTCTGGGTTTCTATCTCAAGATCCTATGCAGAATACTTATTCAAGGCCGAGTCGACCTCATACCAAGCGGTGTATCGAGAATAAAGTCGACCCTCTGATGGTCGAGTAACTAAACTTGAAACTTAGTAGGTCAATTCGTTACACACTCCAACAAGAAGTTTGATGCTATTGATAAGTTCATAGAGAATACTACGACCAAATTCTCAAGTTTGTAAGCGGGTCAAAGGAATCAACAAGCTTAATTAACTACAAAATCTTGAAGCCCAACAAACCTCATTGGCACAAACTCTATTGTCAAGTCTACAAGGAACTTTACCAGGTAATACCGAACCTAATCCTAATGAGGGATGTCATGTGGTAACTCTAAGGAGTGGCCGACTTTTGAAGGAGGTTCCTATCACAAAACCAAGGATACCGGTAAGAGAAGTTCAATGTAAAGTCGTTCAAGAAGAGTTAGTTCGGGAAGAAGTGACACCTCCTATTGAAATCAAGATTGAAGAGAAGGAGAAGTCTAATAAGACTCAAGAACCCAATCCAAAACCAAGAGCTCCTTATTCCAGACAGTTATTCGAGAGTGACCTATATCATGAATGTGTTTCATGGAAGGATACCTTGAAGCAATTAAAGGTAACGATCCTTTTCTTAGACATCGTAATGAAGATTCCGAAATATACTAAATTCTTGAAAGAAATATTGCCGGAAAAGAGGAAAATGGAAGAAGTTGCTATGGTGTCTATTAGTGAAGTGGTTTTGGCATCCATCGGATGTGAAGGCTTCCCTCTGAAATTAAGAGACCCTGGGATCTTCACTATTCCATGCACCTTCGGAGTCAAAACCCTTTTGGAATCCGCTAGCATATTTGGGGTCTAGCATCAACATTATGCAAACAAGAATATACAATGAGTTAGACCTTGAACCACTCATACCTACTAAGATGTGGATTGAGTTGGCCAATAGGTCTGTGGTCCAGGCAATAGAATTCATAGAAAATGTCTTGGTGAAGTGTGCTCATTTTCTTTATCTTGTGTACTTCGTGGTTCTCAACACGAAAGGTTGTGATGCATCGATAATCCTAGGCCGACCATTCTTATCTAAGGCGATGACCATTATCGATGTGAGTGGAATCAAGATCACCTTAAGGTTTGGAGAGGAGGAGATAAGCTACAAGATTACTCCAATTTCCAATTTTCACAAGTATTACAAATGGGATGACGTCAAGATGGAGTGTGAGCCGGTCACACCTACCACACCACCTTCAAGCCCCAAGATAGAATAATTCAGTATGATCTCACATGTTGACCCTCACGATACAAGATTTGAAAGTCTGAGCGACTATGGCAAGATTAAGAAGAGACCGGGTAAAGAACAGTTTTCTTACAAAAGGGATCCTCAAGAGTTGTTCAAAGTTTCCCTTCAAGCCAATCATCATAGAAGGAAACTTAAAAGTTTCATCTTTGAAGAGAGATACCCCAAGGAAAGAGATCGGAATGTTAAGAAAAACATAGCTCCTATATTCGAAGATTAAGAATTCGGGAATCCTATAAGCCATTCACGGATGATGACACTTGTACAAGAGAGCTTAGTTCCTTCAATCATACGCCTGAATCTTCGGATTAGTCTTTCCTATTTCAAGCACCGGATGAGGCATCCGAGAGACTCCATGGTCTTCACTTGGGACT